TTTTTAAGTTTACTTTAAGTCACAATAATATTTTGAATGTTGATAAAAGAAAAAGCCTGCTGTGAGTTTATAAGAAAAATAATATTTAATAGGCCTCTCACTATACTAGAAGACGACTATTCATTATAAAAAATCATCCATCCATGCATTGGTATTCGATATATGTAATTCTTATTAAGTGAGAACATATAGTTGATGATGTGTTTGCTTTGATTATGTCTATGTTCTCGAGCCACTCCTCAGTCTGGTATCTAAATATAACGTTTTCTCTCCAATTAAACAAATTATTGTATAAAGAGTAAAAAAATTGTCGGAAACACCAAAGTATTTCAAAATATTGTACTTTATTTAGTATTTTTCCACACGAACTTCACAGTGGCGTAACGACGGGGCCGGGGGCACGGTGTATTTCTGAAATTGGGGGCCCTTTTTGGGTACCGGTCACCAATTCCATCATGGGATTTTACATGTGCATTTTCATTCTAAATGTATTTAACGACGAATAAATGATATAATATGGATCAAGAAAATTGAGGCCAGGGAGGGACTTTCACAGTTGGAGAGTCTATACCACCTCAGACCCACGATGGTTGGGGCTGAGGTAAGAACATTTATGAATATGGCACTTTAGATAAAATAAAATGATGATGATGGTACCAACGAGGCCGGAACTAATGTAAAGGTGCGTCAGTCTTTAGAATTCTGTGTTTATCTTTCATTTATTGTTAAAATAATATAGTGAAACACAGTAAAATAAAATGTAAACATTTTTAGGAGGGCTATAGTTTGTTAAAGCAAATAAATTTACCAGATACCATTTTTTTAGTAATTTTAAAAATACACCTTGTCCTTAATTTAAAAATCAAATAAACAGCCCCATCACCTCTTCTGTCTGGCTCTGTTGTGAGTGATTGTGAATGCACTTGTTGTTGTACCTGCTTGATAAGTACTTGTACTTATTCTTCAGTTTTCAATCAGTTGATGGAATTTTCCCAAATATTTACAAAATGTCGCAGCCCTATTTCTATCTAGAGGAGGTACACTAATTTTAACCATAGCCTATTGGCTAACCTATATTTAATTGCTATTACTAATTCCCATTTTCACTATGAGACAGACACTTTACAGGGATCTCTGACATTAAATAATTTATCAATACTATAATACAGTATATAACTATTTTTAATCATAAAATAATGATAAGGTCTATATTAAATGTGCCATGGTTATGGTTATGGAAAGTAGTCATGCTTATATGAAAATTTGGCTACGACATAATTGGACAAACTATTCATAATTTTTTGGAAAATGATATATAATTTATAATTATAAAATGCCATTGTCTTTATTTTACAGGTTTATCTCATACAGTTTTTATCATATACAGTACTGATGTTGCAGAAATTGTTGATAATTTTGTGATTAAAATTGATATATTGTTGTTTAGATCTATTTATTTAATTGTTTTGCAGGAATGGATATTCTGTGAATTGTCCAGTCGGATGATCCCCACTGACTTCCGTCAAGTTATGAAACTTGAGAAACTTAGCATCTGATGGAGAAGCACAAATTTCTGTATACCAAACCCAGTGTCATTTCGATATTAATTGTACTGAAATATACTTATGATAATGAACAATTAAATACAGTATGATCCTTCCTGTATTCTTTTGCATTGACGTTAAATTGACTGGTAATTAATATAGTAAATTGTTTGTTAATTAATTAGTGAAAATATTTTTTTTCCTGAAGCAGTTAATAATACATATGGTAAAACACTGAAAGATCAACAAATAAAGTTTAAAATGTAAAATCACTGTGGTTTGGATCATTTTTTGAGTTTCGTACAATGCCGCGGTAATTAGCCAATCAGAACTCAAAGTTGTTAAATACGTCATACACCACGAAATCGTGGTGCCTGCACTCAAAATCCTCACTGTTTTCCCAGTCCCTAATCCCAGAAAAAGTATACTATGGAACGCCATGCAAATAAGTAATATGAAACGCCATTTGTGCCAAATGGCATTTCAACTGATTAAGACAAAGATTAGGGACTGGAACCCAGTCTAATCATCATCGTGAAACACACAATCAATCGTGTTAATCACTATAGTTATACAATATATTTTGTTAATTTTTTTCATCATAACCACCACAATCAGCATTGCGATCGTCATCATCGTCGCTATCATCATCCTCACAATCATCATCATTGTCATCACCACCATCACTCTTCATATAACCAACAATCCACTTTCACTACCACAACCATATTCACCACCTGATTCTTCGGATTGTTATAGAGTAAGTCTAATTGAATATTGATGTTTTCTTGCCACCACCACTTCTTCCTTGAGATTACACACACATGGTCCAAACGCCAACGAAAGAGAGATGAGTATTCTGATCTATTCACTCAGAGATTTGGTCAAGTTTATTACACATTCTACAAAGTTTGACTACAAAATAAATAAATAAATAAAACCATTGAATTAAAAAAACAATCAACTAATCTATCAATTTCCGATGAGACGAACATAAAAACACTTTTTAGTAATTTTTATTATTATTTATAAAACTTGGTAAAACGTCAGAGGGTGTAGAACAAAAATAAAAATACAATTTCAGTTTCTTATTTAGCAAATGGTTTTGCCAAAAACATCCAGACGGAGAAGATTTTTTTTTTAATATAATTTTATTGTAAACAGTGTAATAATGAAATGGTTAAATTCTTCAAATTTTTATAATTAGGAAGAAATATACATATCTTATTTTTGGATAAATTTCAAAGCAGCGGCGGGCGTAATAATTTTTTTGTTTTATGTTGTTCTGAAATTTCCAGTTTTTCGTGGTGGTGGGTGCGTTAATTTAGGACTATTACATCATCATTTATTTTACTGTAGGCCTAAACCCAACAATCAGAAAGTAAAATTAGATAACGTAAATAATTATTATATTATTAATAGATCCTGGTCTAGCCTACTCGTTCTTAGAAAAGTCCAGGTCATATTTTGTTGCCTACGTCAATTCGCGTTGAAGTCCAATAACTGCACTGATATGTGTAATTATATTTTGATGGAAATTGTTGAATATCATAATCGGACTGTGTTTGCCTGTTTTCTTTTCTTTCTTTTCTTTTTTTTTTTTTTTTTTTTTGTTTCTTTTTGATGCCTCTTAAGGCTTTTCATCATGTTTGTGAATATGAAAATTTCGTAAGCTTAGGCCAATTTTGCATAATGTGCATATTGATATTCTCTGTATTCCTGTTTGCTAGTATTCTAATCAAAGATTTTCTGTAAACTGGGGTAACTACTGCATTACTCTTTGGTTTAATTACACCAAGCGCAACTTCCTTATTTCTCTTAAAGTGTTTTTTTTTTATGTAATTCATCAGCATATTAATGCTTTGCGTATGTTAATGAAATTTAGTAAATTCTGTAGTGCGTCTGATATTCCTAGTTCTGATGAATTTATGCGCAAATCTATTTATAGTTTTATGTTGCGCATTAATGTGTCTAATAATCTGATTGTGTAAACCGTGCATGATAAATTGCTTTTAATTGTAAATTGCACGTCAGTAGGTCTGACATTTTAAATTAATATATTTTTATTTTCATTACTGTCATTGTTTTGTGTACAGTGCACCCTACAATTCAAGACCGCTCTACTTCCGAGACCCCTCTAATTCGAGACCACTTTTCTAAGACCCAAATAACAACAATCTTCAACCTTTTAACACAACGCTAGCCGCAAGAACACTCCAAATGTTCACGTCCCAAAACAGTGCGCCTAGACAATGCGTGTGCGTGTGAGACGCGCGTATTTACGGCCATGTTCTGATTGACAATGCTGAGAGGTCTTGTGTTTAGTAAGTAAGTACACTTGTTTATGCAGCTCTTCTTAAGTCAATGGAAAATGACATGGGTGGTAATGTGCAATATTCGTTGTGTCCTAATTTTATTCATTAAATTTTTGATTTTGTAATGTTAGAAATAATTTGATTATTAGAAATAATTCAAATTTTTATATATTTATTGTATTTCGATGTCATTAATTAAATTTTTAGGTGTTATAATTATAATGTGACTTTTTTTGTATTTTTGTCCTTTCTTGTTGCAATATTGTATATAATATTTTTAATATTCTTGTATTTTTGTAAATACCTTCATCTCAGCCTTTTGCTGCCGTTTGTATTCTTTTCTACTCTATCTGAATATTTTACATTTAAGAGCACTCTAAGGAATCGGTGTCGTAGGCTAGGCACTCATCTCCACTAGATCCCCATTGTACATTCTGTTTTATTAAGTTCAGTAGTAAAGCTTTAACGTTACTACATAAGCTATCACTCAATAGGCTGCAGTATTAGGCCTTTTTAAATATGTGGCAAAGACAAGCCAAACCAGTCACTCGTCGCAAACATCGATTTTGAGTTATTAGATTGAGTTAAAGAGTAAAATAAGAGCTATAAAATGGTAAAAAAATCATTCAAATCCGACATTTCCTTATGAAGTTACAAGCATTTAAGCATCGAGCTGATTAAAGAACAATATATGAGAAACCAGCCTTCAAAGTTTATGATTTCAGGCATTTCTCATGCACAAACTAGTATAAAATCATTAAAAAGTGTTGTTTTAACATTGAAATTGGGAAAAATAACAGCACAGCATGATGTATAGATACATGAACATTAGTTTAGTGAAATAAAATAGATTTTTAAAAATTTTACATTCTAGCATGTTTTTGCTATTTTCTCTGAAACACAATTTGCGACGAGTGACTGGTTTGGCTTGTCTTTGCCACATATGAATTACGATTTTTGTTTCTTTTACAGTACTGTACTAAAAATTTCCACTGATGTTCTACAATTATGTTGGCATTTTCATAGTTTTTAAAGAATTATAAACAGAAAATAAGAATTTAACCTCCTAAATTAAGAAAACCTAATTTTTTAACCGGATTTTGTTATTCCTATCTTTTAGGTAGGCCTAACATGGCGGGAATTCAGAATCATACAGCATTCTTAGGGAAAAAGAGCAAATATAGACGCTATACACAAGAGAGTCTTCAACTAGCATCGATAGTGTACGGTAATAAATAAAAGAATTTCCGTTAGAGCTGCAAGCCAACTTTACGGAATCCCAAGAGTTACCCTATTTTCGAGGGAGGACGCCGGGCCTAAACGCTGTGCTGACCACGGCAGAGGAAGACAAAATTGTAAGGTTGATCCAGAAGATGGCACAAATCGGGTACGGTCGAACACGAAGAGAGCTGAAGTTCACCGTCAAAGAAATCATCAATGCAGATAGACGCGAGACTCTTCATGAAACATCATCCGGAACTCTCTATGCGAGTCCCAGAGGCCGTAGGACGTGAGAGGGCATGCGTCAAGAAAGTGAAGATTGCTAAGTAGTTTCAAGAGTGTCAGGAGTATATTATGTTACAAACCAACCACTTGGAGGCGTTGTGAGATCCAGCTAGAGTGTTTAACGCAGATGAGATTGGTTTTCCTCTGGAGGGAAAATTGCAGCTCGTTCTTGCTCCAAAGGGAGCCCAAAATGTGTACCAACAAACATGCTCAACAAAACTAACAAATATCGGTTATGGGAGTATGCAACGCTACAG